CTTGGCTGGTAAATCTATAACAGAGGAGAAGCGATGACTTCCGAATCTGAACCTCAACTCCACCAGAGCCCGTGGGTGAGCCGGAGGACAAGGCGCCGCAATCTGCATCACATCTGAAAAGGATTCCTCAACGTAAAAACCACATCAAGAGGCAGCAATAGGGCGGCTCTGTCACCCGGCCGCCACCGAATTATTGTATGTGGAACAAAGACCCAAATTCACCGAGATCAACCCAAACACAACACACGGCACCGGGTAACTGCCGATCTAGCGGGAGGCGGATTGCAGAATGTTCTATTCCTGACGTTATTGTGAAAATTGGTAAACTTGTAAATTGCTTCGGATTTAAAGTGACAGAAAACTCCCCCCAAATCCCTCCAAATCCCCGAACTCTGAGCAACAATGTATCTGATTTGTGTCACTCGGCTGTACACCCTCCAATCACCTCTGACACTGTCCTTCCTTCTGGAGGCGGGGCTACGTCTGTTCCCCATGGCCCCTGTGTGTGTTGTAGTCACCGCTCCAAGCCCCCCCTCCCCCATGGACTACAATCACAATACAAATCAGTAAACTGAACATGAGAGTGTAGTCCATGGGGGAGGGGGGGCTTGGAGCGGTGACTACAACACACACAGGGGCCATGGGGAACAGACGTAGCCCCGCCTCCAGAAGGAAGGACAGTGTCAGAGGTGATTGGAGGGTGTACAGCCGAGTGACACAAATCAGATACATTGTTGCTCAGAGTTCCGGGACTCGGAGGGATTTTTAGGGTTCATCTCCGGGGTTTGGTGTCTCTGTAATGTGGAGGGTTTTGGGGTACAATGGGCTCCTGAGGGTTATAGATCGGTCTTCTCACCTATCCTGGACCTGATCTTCTGCCAATAATTGGCCCCTCGTTGTTTCATGTGGTTTTGTCTACAGAAAGATCAAAAACAGACAGCGAGAGAAGTGACAGCGACCAAAAATGATCAAATACAGAAAAAAAATACAAAGAATGAAATATTCC